CACACACACACGCACACACACCACACCACACCACACCACACCACAAAACACTGCATTATTTATGATTTATAAGCTGTTTTCCTCATGGGGACCAATAAAGGACCCCACAAGGTCAAAATTTACTGGTATTAATATTTGTGTCATTCTCAGAACTTTTGATCATGACTGTACATGCTGTAAACACTTATCTTTTTATATATATATATATATATATTTTTTTTACAATATGTCCACCCTGTAACAGGAGGGACATTTTATGCTAAAGTCAGCCATTGCTACTCATGTGATGAACAACAAGCTAGTGCGTATATAGTGATCACCAAGGAAGATTTTTAATGTGTTTATTAACCATATTTTCAAAATTACAAACAATTATCAGTTTCCACTATAAATAAGCATAACAGAGTGGACATGTTATGCTTTACCACATCAGTGAATCAATCTAAAACATTGAAAAAAGGGTGAATTAAAGAGTGATCTTATGCTTGTTGTCGATAGCTTGCCACCAAAAAGTATTCTATACTTCCTCTTCATGAGAGTCATGTGTTTAGCCTACTTGCACTAAAATCAGAGTAATTATTTTTAATTAATTAATTTTTTGGTACACTTTTATAGTGTTCTATATCATGGGGACACAAATGGCACTAAATAGGCTACTAGAAAATGACCCGTTTGTAAACAACAACTATGCTTATTTGTGATAAGTTATAACAAATGCGAAACAAGCCAGACATGAAATTATACTTCCAAAAAAATGTTGTCCAAAAAGACATGATTTTTCCTAAACATGTATTTTTTTTTCCTGATGTGAAATAAGACATGTTTTGTCAGATAAAAATGCAGACCGATAGTTCCTTCTTCTTCTTCTTCTTCTTCTTTCCAGTTTAACGGCGGTTGGCATCCAGCTTATTGGTGCATTACCGCCCCCTTCTCCTCCGGAGTGTGGCCGAGAGTTCCTTTATGAAACAGCACACTTTAGTACGCACTGTAGCAGCCAGCGCTCAAACAAACACCAGATGGCGCAACAATAACAAACTAACGTTACTCAATGAAGGGAAAATTACCGACCGCACATCGGGTATATAACCAATAAACACTTCGCCTTTTGAGGGAAAATAAAATTCATACTTAGGAACACTAAATTAATTTCTTATGTATGCTATGAACAGTTTAGGTAATTTCATGCCGCTATTTTGTAGTTGTGACTACGACGCGTTTATCTGACGCCACTTCCTGTTTAACTGCTGATGTTCCGGGCGCGGATTTTTGAAAACAACAAGAATACATTTGCGTTTATATTCACGCCATAAAACGGGTTAGTGATTTAAATCTTCTTTCCGACTATTAAAACAACATTTAATCAATATTATTTTGGTTTCAGTGCCTAGAAATTAAGAAAAAGACATCGCACTGAAACATTATATCTAAACAGCAAAAACAACAACTGTAACGTTACGCTATAT